AATTATTAATAATATATTTTCTTTATTATTTATTTATTAATTTTATTGCAAAAATTCAATATTTAACAAGAGTTTTAATATATAAATTTGAATTTCTTTGATTCTATTTATTTTTATTTTTATTTCATATATTTAGACTTAATAAACTAAGCTTTTTAACTAAGTAAACTAAATACACAGAATAATTAAATGCAGTAACTAGCATAGTTACTCTAGAGCTTCATTAACAAAGTATTTGATATGCATTGTTATTACAACTGAAATCGAGCTCAATTTAATTTGATTATGTGATTAACATATAGGCTTATCGAATTATGTGCGATGGCTGAAAAGCCCGGTAGAACCTTGTGCGAAATGCCTTCGAAATGACGTCCGTTTTGTGCGGCTGATCTGTAGATTTGCATAATTTTATTGTGTGTTGAACTTTTGGTGGGGCAGCAGAAAGCTGAATACACAATAGCCTCGGGCAGATACACACACACACACACAGAGATGTATATATGTGTGATGGCACCCACACACAGCCGCAATGTTGCCCAGTTGTAGCCACCACAGAGAGGTCACTCAAAGTCCACTTACCAACTTAGTTAGCCAGACGCTCGCTCGCTCGCTCGCTCTTCATGCCCAAAATCTTTGCCTAAGCCTAAAAGTCGCTATTGAGTTGGATTGTTGGCAGTCTGTGTGTGTATGTGTGTGTGTTGTTGTTGTTGCTGCAGAGTGTGTGTGGATGTGACCGATAAGCGTGTGGTGTGCACTTAAGTTGCAGAGTCACCAGGCCAGTGGGACGCAGCCGAATGTTAAAGTTCGAAACTGGTCAGAAAACCACAATAAGCCAAAGATTACGTCCCACTTCAAGCATCTCCAGATACGAAACTGAAATTGTTGTTGTTGTTGTGTTGTTGTTGTTGGTATTGTGTTTATGGGCAACGCCCAGTGCCCGAGTCCAGCTGCGGGTTAAGTTAGTTTGCACAAAAATATGTTGCATACTTCTAGGCAGCTGTCGAAAAGTTCAGGCTGAGAGTTTTATATATACACACACACATACACATATCCATTTATATATATTCTTATGTATCTATGTATATGTGTTGCTTCGCCTTTTTCGACTTTCACACATACAGGGTGAAGTTTTGTGTGTCACCGAGATTTGCATTTCAAAGCATCGTGGGCGTGCTGTCACGCCCAGCTGCAAGCGAAATATGTAGTTTAGCAGGTGCATGAGGTGTATGAGGTGTATGTACTACACCTGCACAGAGGCAACAACTTATTACTTTGACTAATCCTATTATGCGCATGCAAACGTGCGACAAGCCAGAACTTTTCCTGCAACGACTACTTTGAAGTTGAACGCCTCACTGACTGTCACTATCCACCTACTTTACTCGGCTTTACTTTACTCACTCTAACTGTCTCTCTGTCTCTCTCTCTCTCACTCCCACTGTCTGTTTTTGTCCACCTGCCTGTCCATTCATTCTATTGAATCGTGCGCTCACTCAAGCGTCGCTAAGTTGTCTTAGCAGTTGCTGCTGCTACACTGCAAAAAAAAAAAAAAAAAAAAAAAAAAAAGCGAAGCTCAGCTCAGCTCAGCTGGAGTTTCAGTTAAAACTAATAATGCTAATGTTGTTGCTGTATACATACATATACATTTATATACATAGCTAACCCATTAGATGAAAATCGCATGAATTTCGTTGAAATAAAAAGCCAAAATAAATAATTTAAATTCATTCGATAAATTCACAACTATGTAGTA